CCGTGTGGGCCGTGGGCAACTAAGCGTTCAAGCGTCTTTAGCTGTCTAAGGGTGGTAGTGTAGAAATTGGTTTTCAACATGACATCCTGGGAGTTTTTCACCTTCTGCTAAGAATTTAGAATTTGTGAACATGTAGTAATTGTGCACACATATTTAAGGCTGCGTCAAACAAAATGATACTTATGAACCATTTAGAGTTATTGAGATAATCGAGCCCAATTGATTTTCACACTTACTGGTAACCGAAACAGTGACATTTATTGTATCGAAAAAACTGTAAAGCTACCCTTATTCAATTGCTTTTAACAAGAGCTTTTAAATAACACTTAAATTTTTAAAATTGAAAAAATATTGAGCTCACAACACTATCGTCATTTCGAGGGCCCATAAATGGAGATAATATTTTTGAGCGACCACAACTTCTTCAGTTTTAAGGGCTCAAAAGATAGAGGAGGCGCCCGATTCGTACTTAGGTTCATAAGTATCATTTTTTTTACTCAGACAAGTAGGACTACCAGCAATATCACAGTTACTGTGACAGTAATACTACGTACTATGAGTACTGAATCCAGTACTACTTAATTTTGTAGTACGCTGCTGTGCTTGTATTAATTGTAGTAGTAGAAGTGCTGTTCTGTAATACTGCAGCGAAATAGTATAGGTAGTATTACGTAGTACTTTACTCTAGTACTACAGTACAATGGATACCAATAGGGTGAGGCGGAGCTATTGATATTGATGACTTCCGCTGCAAAATTACGATGAAAACCGCCCGTATTTCGAGAAGCCGACACAAATGTGTTTTTACGAATATGAGTCCCATGAGTCCAACAAGTTAGTTTAAAAAGACAAACGAAAACGTACACGGTTTTAGGCGAGTCTGTAAGTAAACCACTTTAAAAAACACTTGGGACATCCAAATGATGCCTTACAAAATAGCAGTATATATTTTTTGAGCTGGTCAAAAACTAGAAACGAGATGTTTATCCTTACTATTGCAACAGAGAAAGCTATGCGAGCCAAGTCCTAGTAAAGTTTGATAGCGAGGGCATAAAAACAATTTTGGGTCACGTTGTTCGCTAAAGCATCACTTGTGCATCTCGTGAAAGCACCGACATGTGATGGTACCTACCTTAAGGCAGTTCAAGATGACAATCTCTTCGAAGCCGTTGGAGGTTATTTGGATGCATCAAATGAAGTGATACCGGTCGATAGGGCTCCCCCAAAATTTAATTTAAATGGATTTCTACTCTGATCAGAACAAATACCTGCATGGTAGCTCGGAAATCTGCAAATACCAGCACCAAAACGTGATCGTGCTACTAGCGTAATGGCTTCGGGAAGAACTTGCTCCTCGAGCGTTGGGAAGGCATCAGAGAAGCGTCAGAACATGGCTAAGGTTGTGAAAGTTGGCAAACTGAGTTTAAGTCAGCGGCACCGGTTTGCCGATATCTTAAGAGCAGAAATCTAAAAATAAATTTTGTGAAATAATAGACAAATCCATAAATAATTTATCAAATTGTGACCACCCTCTGAGTACTTCAATAAGTTATTTCTTGTCCAGAAACTTTTCATTTCCAGTAAATATATTTTTGAGGAGAGCTGCCGGTCTGCGTGAGGCGATTGTGAAATCAAAAAGTACGCTGCTGATCGATATGGAAGCACTGGATAAAACTGTGAGCAGCAATACATCAGCTACTATTGGCCTTGTAGGTCAGCGCTCAGTCGATGTGATCAGCCGGCGTTTTGTTAGATTTGGAAATGGCACCGGGTTCATCAGCCGCTATGCTCTTGCCATTGTTGGATGCTCTGCGTTATTCAAAAATGTTCTTCCATCGTGAGGAAAGACTCGAATGATGCGATGGACGGGTGGAGCTTGAAATGCACTTACTTGCTTGCATTCGGGAAGGTGGACTTACTTGTCTTTGAAGATGGAAATTAAGAAAGTTGACTTACTGAGAATCGTTGTAGATAACCCAAAGAAGCTACCAGTTATACTTAGTTAAGGAGGTGGGCGAACGTATTACAATGAAAGGGGTCGACAGTTGCAACGTGTTGCCGAGCTCACATTACCAATAACACTTACAATAAACAGGTAAAACAATAGAAGCATCATGAATTGGAGAGGGGCCGAGCGCAGCGACAGATGTGTATTGAGTTCCTCACTGCATAGCAGTAGTTCATCCTTCAGCGCACCACAGTCACTGAAAGACGTGTTGCCACCTGCTGCTTAAACAAAGAGAGGCAATACTGCAGATTGCCGTCGTGCGCTTCTTGAGAGCAATCCACTTCCCGTCCGCGAGAAGGAAAAGCCGATAGCAGTAGACCTAGCAATTACTTGAGCTTCTTCTTGATGCGCAGCTGGTTGCTGTGGCCGCATTTTTTCTTGCGGCAGTTGGTGGCACGGGGCGGGAGACGCGCGTAGCAGATACGGCAGATCTGTTTCTCGCAGTTGGTCTTCTTGGCCAGGGCGGCGAGCGTGGGCTCAATCGCACCACCACGCAGACGCAGCACCAAGTGGAGGGTCGACTCTGTTGTTAGGAGCATATAGGAAGATTAGCACACCGGTTTTACTGTTATAAACTCGATCGATGGATGTCGCACCTTTCTGGATTTGGTAGTCCGAGAAGGGTGGCTCGCTTCCTAGGAAAGGTCTTTCCAGCGAAGAATCCAAACGTGTGTGTTCAGGCCGGGTTTCCCTTCCTTGTGCCGAAATTTTTGGCTGGACACTTTCCAAAGGGCTTTCGGGGCGGCTTCCACGTTCCAGCGAGAGTGGTTTTTTTCCCCTCAGAGTTTTTTACCAAGAATAATATTTGCATGTTTCCCTGTAATATGCCAACGATAAAGTGTCCTGTCAGCTTTCAAATTCGTCGCGAAAATCTGTACTCTCGTCGCCAATCCGTCGTCTATAGACGCCCCTGCTGCCCTGTATCAACTCAGTGCCGAGTGTGCTTATTCTCAGTCTGTATGGCGAGTCTGAAAGACCTGCTTGCATGGGGTTCTCATTTACGAGCCTGTGGCTCCTTGCTGGGTGCAAGAAAGCGCCTGTAGACGACGAACTAGGCAACCAGAGCGGCCTCATTGACGCCCCAACGCACCTTTCCTCTCGCAAAATGAATGCCCACTGGAGGAGGTCGCAAAGGTTTCGGACCAACCAAGTCAAAGCATACAAAAGCGAAGTCAAGCACCCGCAGCACTATCGGCCAGTCATAAGAGAGGAAAAATGGCAAACGGCGAATGACGGTCCGCGGTTCATCTGACCGGTTCGCGAGGGGTAGGGCAATTCAAGTGCTTGTTAAGTTCGAAAATGGCACATATCGATTATCCTAGAAAGAAGAGACTGCTATTGAATATCGGCTGCACACGCTTTACTCTACGCTTTGCCAAAGCGTATCAACAAATACGACGAAGTGTTTATACTATCGAAGCCGTACAGCTCAGTCGTGCCAAAACTTAACTTACGTCTTTAGGCGAAGAAATTTTTACCAGGATCGTGGCCGCGGGCTGTTTGCTAAAAACTATTAGCATCCAAGACATTTTAAAGCCGCAGATTGAGTTTTTTTACTGTTGACTACGAATCCAGAGTCAGTTTAGTGCTTCGTAGCATCTTGACAAACATCTAACCGTGAAACGAGAACCAGCACTGATTCGAATTCTCGATTCGGCTCCAATCGACGTAGGATTTAAGGTACCAGTGGACATAGGCTTTACAGCGACATTCATGATCCTCGCCGCTGTTTCTTCGAGCTATACTAGCTTTGTTTGCTATTGTAAATATCGCTGTCATTATGGGGTAAAAGGATAATGTTATCCGCTCATAGAACTGGCTCGCTAGTCGCCAAACAAATGAATGCCTGCGATGACACACCAGGCGAGATATTGGGAGTGACATTCAGATAAGAACTTGTAACGCACAAATGACATCCACTGTGATTCCTTAGGCTCGCTGCCTTCTACGTAACGGACTCACTTAGTCTTTGAGTCAGAGAGAAAGACTATTATTACATGCACCAGTCAGACTATTACTGTATGCACCAGTGTACAATGGTCTGTCGGTTGTCTGTCGGCTGTTACAGCCCGAGCAACCGGGTACGGAGAGAGAGATGTACCAGTTAATCGGGGCTGATAGCGCTCGCCCCGAGTGTTAAACCAGCTTTAACCTAAAAAAATATAAATATATTACATGCACCTGATTGGTAAACAGCTTCAGCTTAATTGTGTGGGCCACCCAAGTTGAAGTTACATTCGCTCGCATTGGACCTTGGAGGATATGTGCAATGCAGAACTCGTCGCGGCCACCATCGACGACGGGTCCGTTTCTAGGAAGTGGTTGTACTCTATTCGTCGTGTCTGCGAAGCTCGCCTCTGCAGAGTCAGCGTGGTTCAAGCACAAATGCACGCGCTGAAATTGACTTTTGTACTTCAAGGCCGTACCGACACTCTTGGCTGCTTTAACAAGGACATGGACCGCCGGACCCCGAGGGAAGGTTGCTAAATGTACTTGCCTGATGCTCAAAACCACAGTACACATTTAGTTACTGAGCTGGTTGGGTGGAGATGGAAGATTGCTTAGGGTCCCGTTTGAACTCAGCCAACCTGATCCGCGAGTGCCCTACTTGGATCGCCGGGACAGTTGCCGTTACATGAAGTAGCCCCGAATTACTTCACGAGGACGGCGCGTCAACATATCACCTCAGTAAGCCAGCTGTGCAACACAAGCCACCTTTTGCCCAAGCCACAACTGAATTCAACGGCTTTCAGGCAAAGAGGAGGTTCTGAGACGAATAGAGTGTGAATTGCACTGATGGAAAAGCTCTTTACAAAAATAGGATCTCCATCATACTTACCGACACCGGCCGAGGTGCTTGACGGCGTGCGATGGCTGCGCGAGAACCCGGCGATCGCCGCCGGTGTAGTGGTGGGGATTACCAGCTACTCAGTAGCCAAGTACTATGAGTACGGCGAGGATAGTGACGGAGAGAACGACGAAGACAACCCAGCTAATGGCCAAGTAATACAGGATGAGATTGCAAGGTCCGTGACTGCGCTGCACCTCGGACTGCTCAAGATCGACACGAAGAAGGACCTTCGACATAGCGCCGCCGACAGCTCCGCCAGTACAGAGTCGTCTATCGGTAGCTCAGGTGGACTCCGCTCGCGCGCCAGCTCCATCTTCGACAAGGCCCATCACGAGGTTCGTCTCAAACCGTTACCAGGAGCTCGCACCACATCGTCACAATGCTAACTCTCGTGTGTTTCGCAGGACATGCAATTTCAAGAGCATACCGGCGAGCAAGTCTGGTCCTGTTTGCACGAAGGAAAATGTCCACCAGGAGAAGAGTGCAACGACCCCGCGTGGGGCTGGTTTGCACCTGCCAGCAATTCATCTTCAACTCGTTAATTGATCACAAGACCAAGCAAAACAATATTTATGCATTCACTTAACGCTGAGGAACTACGTACCAGTTCTTTCACATCCAGCATTAGAGCCTGGTTAACTACAGTAAAACCCCAGGCAAATGTCCATTGTTAAAATATACCAGGTGCATCACCTTCTCATTCACGTACAGTGCAACATGCACATTTGCAACCGAGTACTTGCCGACTTCATGGCTACAGTTATTGACAGCTTTACGTAGCTTACACCAGCTGTCTGACAGCGTACCACATTCTAGGTACATGGCTTGCCAAAACATGCGGCCACCAATTGTTTACTTCAGCAACTACTATACCACCCGGACACCATGACGTACTACCGATTCGGGCAGCGGCTCAAGATGACCCGCGCAGTGGCCAGGGCAATGGCACGCTCCTCTGCGGGCAAGCAAAACTCAGCTACTATCGAGAAACTGGTGCAGACCAGCAAGAATCGCTTCGGCAGCGCCGTATGTTGCGTGCATTGCAATGCGGTTTTAGGACTTGTAATGGCTTGCTAACTGCGTAATGTTGAACGCAATAGGTGGCTCGACCGCTTGGTGCTGCGCTTGCGACGTTCCTGGACTCGGGAGTTGCGTTCAACACATCGTCCGAGTTCCTGTACTTCGACGGCGAAGATGACGACGGAACGTAAGTGTTTTTCTTTTGCATATGGAGAAGTTGATGCTCCACGTGGCGCTCGACTAGTTTTGCTTTGGTGCATGCTATCAATTGAGAAACTGGGGAGCGTATTGCGTGGTGCATCAATGCTCTACTACTTTTTGTGTTCTGGGAGTTTTCGGCGATCTGACGACTGAGCAGTTAATATCCGCTGTGCTTCCATGCAAATAGATAACAGGCCGATCGAGTACCAGTACATACACAGCACAGACGATCGGCCGGCAAGGAGAAGCTCAAATGGTCGCAGGAGAGTGCGAGCAGTAGCGAGAAATGATGATACGTAGACCAACAGCACTGCGCGATAGATAGATTAAGAGATTTTTGTTTGACCTTGACCCAAACCAGACTTGCAATTCGTACTTCACTTCACTTCATCTCGCTCTTGCCGATGTACTCATCAGCGTTTTCACTGTACTTAAAATTTGTATCATCGCCGATTACTCAAACTCAAATCTCCACCCTACAATTTCCAAGACCTCAATACGCGCTGACCTGTAGACGATAATGGCGGATACGACTGAGCTGCGCGTGAGCGACAACTTCCCGCGAGTGCCTAAGCCCTGTGAGAAGGTGGCGACCAAAGTTCTTCGCGTGTTTCTACGAGCACGGCAAGCCGCCCTGTGGTGAATTCCAACACCGAGGTGGGCAATGTGGCGCTCGAGAAGTGCAAAGACGCGCTGCTAGCCTACAACGCTTGTGTGGACACTGAGATAGCCAAGAACCCCAAGGAGCTATTCCGCGTACCGGAAGCCTACCGCACGCGCGAGTAACTAAAAGAATGGCCTAAAACACCAGCAATAATTGGAATCAAGGTGTTGGGGGCTGTGCTTTGAAATAGTTGTATCATCCTGTTACGAGTTGCAGACACCACTGAATTAACGTGAAAAACGGATGAGTCGGCGAGCGAGGCACATGCAAACCCACTTCAATTTGCGTGTTTGGAAGAGTTGGCAATTAAAGAGGATACACCAGCCACGAGGAGAGATCGATTTGTGCTGTACGTGCTCACTTGCTCGCCTGCTTGATCAAGCCTCCCTCGTCCACTTTGCATCTGTATTCTTGTAGAAAGCTGCAGCGTCCAAGATTTTTTTCTGTCTTTAGATGACAGCATCTTACTGCGTGTCCTTCTCCCAGTCGAGGTTGGCGATTTCGTCGTCGATCTCCTCCTCCACCTCCGGGTACATGGCCGTCACCTCATCCATAGTCGTGGCCAGCGTCGTGCGGGTCTCCTCCATCAAACCGATGAGCTCCTTGAGCTCCTCAATGCGGGCCTTCGAGTCCGTCACCTTCTCGTTCAGCTGGGCGAACTGTACTCAGCCCATATATAACATAATTAAATAGTCAGTATCAGCTATAATTGCAATACCATTTTTTGTAGCCCAACGTACGAGCTTGTCGACCGTCTCCTGCTCGTTCAAACGCAGCTCCTCCGGAAGGTCAGCCGACTTGGCAGAGGCGTCCAGCTCCTCGGGAGTGATGGTCGGGAAGGAGATGCTCTTGTAGTTAGCCTCCATGGCGTCCACCAGCTCCTTGTTCTTGATGACCGAGCGGTAGTAATCGAAGTCGATCGCCTCAGGCTCCTTCACGTAGTTACGGGCCTCGGCGGCGACCTGGCCGTGCACGTCACGGAGGCTGTCCAGGGCAGCGCGGGCACGCGGGTCAGTCAGCTTCTGCGAGATGGCGGTCCACTCGATGGCACGCGTCTGCAGCGCGCGGCGCACAACTTGCTTGCGTAGCTGGAGCATCTTAGCGAAAGGCGGCGAAGGCTAATGTAGAGCCTGCCCCCTTGATTGAATTCAGGGGTGGAGAGTAAATTACTACTGAAAACACATACCTTGCTATCCACACAGCATCTAAATATAAATGTGGATTCAAAACACATTTAGGAGACCTTATGAAAGATGATATTCGAATTGCCCAGTTTATTTGCTAGTCACTGCAATTCGATGATGCAATTCGTCATTGAATTGTAGCTCGCAACAAAGGCATTATTAAGGGCCCACACTCATCAACTTGCGGTGCAGTGGCAACTAACGTGAAGCAGTCAAGATGAACGCGTTCCCGATGGAGACAGGCTGGCAGAAGATGCAGCGCCGCTGCCGAGAGGAGCCGCTGGTGCCACTAGGCTGTCTGGCCACGGCAGGAGTGCTGATTGGCGGCTTGGCCTCGTTCCGCCGCGCCGCCGACGCCGCCACACAACAGAAATTCATGCGTCTACGTGTAATTGCCCAAGGCGCCACCGTCGTGGCCCTGTCGCTCGGCGGATTCATTGCCATCAAACCAGACGAGGACAACCATGACACCAAGCACTAAACAATGTGAGAAAAAGGTGTCAAGTTGAAGCAATAGCACAAGAGAATTATAATGGACTCCGTGATTACCAGGCGGTATTGGGCACTCGTGGTTTATTTTTATTTAAGCTAAAAAGAACATGAAGAAGATGAGAAAAACCAATAAGATAGCGGAGATCTTGAGCGCCAGCAGTCTATTGTTCGACAGGCTCGAGAAGTATTTGAGCAGCTCGTGCTCGCCGCTGCTCACGTTCACCAGCGACTCCTCCACATTGTCATCGATTCTGTAGCACAGCATTAGCCAATCATACACCTGTCAGATCCTCCAATGCGACACAATAACCTCTGAAGTAAGCACAAACCTCCTCACGAGGTCTCCCTGCTCGTGTATCAACGTCGACAGTCGTCCGAAAAGCTGTCCGATGTCCACAATATGACTTTCAATCTGGGACACAGCTTCTGCTCTCGACTCGGTGTAGTTCTGTTGCTCTGCCACGATTTGCTCCTGTGTCATGGTGGTGATAAGAGGCTGAATCTCTGTGTTCCCACTGTCCTCCGTACTAAATCCTGGACGCGGCAGTGTGTTGGACAGGTTGACTTCCTGCAGACTACCGGTGTGGCTATTGTTACTTCTCGGGGGCTGAGGAGCCTTGAAGGCCAGGGGCTTGCCCAATGCACTGGACGCCGTCTTGCCATATCTAGCACGTCGACTCTGTTGCAGCTTCATATTCTCCTGTCTGACTTCCAAAATGTCCTTGAACCCCCTGGTCGTGGCCATGAGGTCGGATTTCATCAAAGAGACGATGGCATCCGAGTGCTTGGCGGCTTGTCTCGAGGGCGCAGACTGCCGCTTATTATTCATGTATTCCTGAAGGTTGTCCAGCTGCATATTGATGTCTGTAATATCCTTCTTCACTAACGCTGCCAGCTCATTAATGGCCTCAGTTGGATCATTGAACATGTTGTTCTGCCGCACCACTACGTACGTCACTATTATGTTAGCATCCGTGGGTCAATTTTCTACAGCAAGTATCCACGTACATTGTGTGAGCTGCTGTAGCCTCTTGGAGGCCTGGTACACTTCCTTGGAGATGTCTGAGGCTGCAGCGTTGAACTGTGCGTTCTCTTGAAGTGGCGTGTGCACAGATTTCTATGACGTGGGCAGTAAAGTTTTGTAAGCTAAATGCAGCGAGCAGAGGCAATGGGAGGTGATCATTACGAGATGTGAGACAATAGTCGTACCTGCAGGGCGGGGCTTCTTCCCTTTGCAGCTGCATAGTGCTGGCAGAGCTGCGCGAAGTCAGCAGTGCGGTTCGCCGCCATGGACAGGAATTCCTTATCGAGAGGAGTTCCGTGGTGTGTCGCACACTGATTAAGTCCTGACCAACCTGTTTAAACGGATAGCTGCCGCTGCCCTATGTCACTATCGGATATACCAGTATATTAGATAGTGAGGGATGGCACTGAAAAATAGACTGCAATATGTAAGATCGGATTTTTATTAGTGGTGGCTTTCATTTCAACTATGGATTGATATGATTGGTCCGACACAATTCTTTGCAGATTTGCAACAAAACGCCCTGAAGAAGATGTTTTGTTGGTTTTGGTTGGCCCACCACCACCAACTCGTCAATGGAGCACCGTGAGGTCCTGGTCGCAGTATCTACAGCCGCAGCTGCTGCTGCACAAGCTACTGCCACGGCCCAACGAGCACCTCCAGAATATATCCTAACGCTCCACAACATCGACTTTGACGTGATGCTCGCTCAAGACGAGTATGACGCTTGGTTTCGTCGTCATCTTCGCTGCAGTCAAGCGTCATTTCGAGCCATCTACTCCATTCTTCGTGGCGTTCTACAAGGTTACACTGTCGACAAATACAACAAACTGTGGTGTAGTGATTTCTCCGTGGTTGCGGATTATCACCCGTCGACAAAGACGTGACACCGCCCAAGTTGTTCAAGCGACGAACCCTCGGTCGGGTGATGTACGGAGACGCCAAGGTGCAAGGGACTCGACGGCGTCACCTCCGAGTTTTCAACAAATATCGGATACGGCCCTATGTCACTGAATCCAGGCTGTCCTTATTATTAATAATGGACTGGCCGTATTCGCATTCAGCGGACCATCTACGGTACGAACCCTCAGTGGCGGTTGGGATGAGTTCGCGGAATACTCAGCGACCTTTGGAAGACACGCTAACCGTCTGGGACAGGGCGCGGACCGTTAAAGATGCTCATGCGACAGTGCAGACGACGCTTGGCATGCAAGAAGATCCATAACGGATCATTGTTCACTTGATATTTGTATACTTGATTAGGACTTCTTATTAGGAATAGACCCGAAAGGGTAAGCTTAAATACAGAACAGAATTTCCACTCAAGCACACAGAGCGACGTCCGGCTTCAAGGTAAGCGTCAGGTCAAGCTTGTTTGAGTGTGTTATGCCTGTCGGTGAACTCGAAGCTCTGTAGCGAGGGTTCATCCGGCAAGGCCAAGAGACTTTGTGTATTGGCCGATTATTATCGGGAGGTTCTACGTGACGGCTTATTGTTGCCTATTTGCACGACTGGGAGTGCTTGAATTGCCTCCCTTTTTATTTCTTCCAGCCGAGTGTTGAACACTCGGTGATCTCGTAAAAGGCTTACCCGTGCCTGGTACCCTTCCGCTGTTGGGACCACGAGGATTCAAAACACCTGCTAGCTTTGCTCGTGCTAGTAGCGTGTTCTTATTTTACTGGTTGGCCTATATAAGTAGTTTACAAGGTCCAGTTTGTCCCGGTGCAAGGGCAGAACTGGGGTCTTCAGGTCCGCCCGAACGATCGTTTACTATCCTAGTAGACGTATTGTTGTGGGAACATCCTAACTACATCTGTAGCTAGAGTTCACGTGGGATTTCCAGCACCACAACTGGTGCCGCGACCCGGGAGCAGATTGTGACCATTGTGAGCTGTTTGTATGGCCTTCCAGTTTACGAGCTACCAAGAGAAGAAGAACAAGAAAAAGACAAGAAACATGGCGAAAGGACAACCGACGGTACCAGTTACGCCTGCCAAGTCTGGCGGGGCTCGCAACGAGAGTTCAAGACCGGCTGCGCGCTTTGCAGCCGGCACCGAGCTTTCAGTGAGCTTCGACGACGAAGCAGACATCGGTCCTGACGCCCACGATTATGAAGATTACGAAGACAAGACGCCGGCTCCAGAGCCGGGCGCAGCGACGCCGGAAACGGCCACGCTATCATCGGGGCTGAGCGGGACGACCAGGTCCCTTTCGAGGAACCTCGCCGACGAGCTCGATGATGTTGCGGGACCGGAACCGGCCTATGATGATTATGACGAGGGGACCGAGGGTTCTAAGCCTTCGGTGGCGAGTGCAAAGCATTCAGCACTGCTGAAGGCACCTCGCCCACCTATCAACGGTGATACACCAGCCGCCAAGCGCGTTTTCGACCGCGTACAAGCGCTGATGCAGAATGATGAGTGGATGCAGCTGTTCAAGCCCATCCCCAAGAAAAAAGCCGACTGGCCTGCGCTTGCGCAGGAACTTCAATACCCAGTCAACTCGGTTTCGACTAGCCAAGTCACCGAGGATTCAGTTTCGCTACTGCTGTCGCTGAGGTTCGAG